CCTACTGGTGGGCCGACATTGTGGCTATAGATCCACCGCTACTAGAAGGTAACTCACCTCGAAAAGTAGCTGCTGAAAGTCTGCTTGCTAAGCGCCTGACTACTGAATCGGTAATCCTCCGACTATAAATCATAAACATAGATTAGCCTCTCATACACACCCTTAGGTCAGATGACTGACCCACCCCTGGTCCAAGGTCAACTCCTTGGTCAAAGTCAACTTCCAGTTGACTGGACTCGCCGAGTCATGGCACCGACTCGCCGAGTCCTTCTCCCACCAACCCGGTCCTACTCTACAAGTCCCTCATCCCACTCACTGAGTCACCCTTAACTCACTACTTGGGACGATAGAACTAACTCGCGATCCGACTCGCCGAGTCCAAGAACAACTCGTCGAGTCCATACGAGCAGATCTCCTACTCGCTTCCAAATCCTCACCAGAGCATCCTTTATGAGGATTTGGGTTTTGTGGGACCATTGCTACACGTTAAATTGCTAATTCCGCGTGCAGATACGAAGGGTTAGACCTTCAACACCTAAACCCCTCTTACTCAGTAACAGTTCATCTGACTCTCGCCGAGTTTGAAGAACAACTCGTCGAGCACCAGGCAATCTTCATAGGACTTGCCGAGTTGTTCATCCAACTCGCCGAGTCTAAGGCCATCTTCATAGAACTCGCCGAGTTACACTTTGGGACTCGCCGAGTCCCTTGACCCATTTCCCATATAGACCAAATCTGAGACATGCAACACTTCAAAACGATAGATCTATGTTCCTAGGGCATGCTTATCATGTAAAGTTGCAAACTTTACGTGCATGCATGGCCCTACAAGTTACAAAAGGCAAATCCAAGCTCTTTATGAGGTCATACACTCAATGGGGACCTCAATCACTTCAACCACAGAAACTTTATACTTCTAATATGTCCATAAGGTCTAGATCTAAAGTCCTTTCGGATCATTAAGCACAAACACATGGAGTTTGGTGTATTAGGGCTTGACAACCACCAATTAGGGACAAAAAAGGGAATTGAATGAACTAGTGATCAAGGTAGGGACTTTTCTACCTGAATGGAAGCCTCTTGCAGGGTAGATGTCGGATCTACTTCTCCTCCTTGCACTCTTCCACCTCCTTCTTCTTCTCTTAAGCTTCAAACTTCCTTCACAAGGCCAAAATCACTCACAAGGACACAAAGGGGCTAGGGTTTCGCTCTACAGCTCTTCTGGAAGTGTTAGGGACAAAGGAGACCGAGTTAGAGTGCTTAAATATGGTGCAAACACCCGGGTTAGGGTTTTTGCCTAAATAGGGCCTACTCGCCGAGTCCGGGAACCGACTCGCCGAGTCAGAGGCTCAGACCCCGCGTCTCATCCCGCTCCTACTCGGCGAGTTGGTCCTTCAACTCGCCGAGTCCAAGGCAAATTGCATGAATAAAAAAATTGTTAATTACAAGGAATACGTATCGGGAACCAGGTGCTACAAGTATATAAAGCATAAGTATATAAACAAGAAAAATAATTAAAAAAATTAATAAGGGCACAATAGTCTTTTTAAGTAAAACAGAGACCAAGTTCGTAACAACATTAACAGTAGGGACCATCCAAGATAAAAAATTAAATTAATTAAAAAATAAACGGTAAGGATCATCCGATGAGCTACAGATATGTGTGGTCTAATTTTTTTAAATATGTAAAAGATAAATACATAAATAAAAAAATTAATTAAAAAAATAAATTAATAAGGGCACAATATTCTTTTTAGGTAAGACATGAACCAAACGCGCAACAAAAATAAACAGTAAGGACCATCCAAGTTAAAAAAAATAAGTTAGGGACCAAAAACACAAATTCCCCCAAACCACAGGGACCATTCATGTAATTTAATTTATACTTTCGTTTTGTTCATATTTGGGTAACTATTTTTTTGTACACATCTAGGTAACGAACTTATTGAAAGCGTTCACATCTAGGATTTAACCTGCTATAGCAGGTCATAATGGTCATATGTGAACACTTCCAACGTTTGTTACCTACATGCGTACAGAAAAAAGATAGTTACCCAGATGTAAACATATCGAAAAGTTAATTACCTTAATAAGTCATATTCCCTTCCTTTTAAAACAACTTTTGAACTTTTAATTTTTCCAAAAAGTTAAAAAGTTTAAAAAATGTTCGGCAAAATAGAAAAGTTCTTTTAAATTAATTTTTTGTCATGAACAAAAATAAGCCTTTTTAAAAGTCATAAAATTTCATTTTTTTTACTTTCAACTTTTATCTTTTAAAAATCTTATAAGTCCAGCTAAATACATTTTAAAGACCTTTTTAGAAAAAATTCCTTTAGAAAACTCTTTTTTACAAAAGGACTTTTAAGTTAAAAAGGAATCTGAAACACACCCTAAAGCAGGGGTGGACATAGGATTTTACAGTAGGTGTTGCATGAGAAAGTTAGGGGTTGCACGATCGTAGAAAAAATAATAATTAAAAAAAAATCGTAACTTTTTCCACTATGGCTGTAAAAGTCAGGGGTTGCTGGTGCCACTGATGACCCCCCTAAATCCACCTCTGGTCTTAAGCCAACTTCAATGGACCTCTAAAACACCATTTAGTGACCAATTTTACTCCAATCAACCTTCAAAAATCGCACCATTTTTGTTTTGGCTCCATTTTATAACCAAGTATAGAGGCTAAATATAAAAGCCTCTAAATATCACCATTTTAAAGGTTAGTTTGAATGAAATCACTAAAATGGAGCTAAATAATCACCATTTTAGTGTTTATGGTTGGAGAAGCTCTAAGGCTATTATGAAATAATGGCCATGTAGATTCATTAAAGTTGACTAACTATGTGTTCATATTTGCAAGATTATGGAGTTGACAAATATGATCTTGGATCCGGATTTGGTCATTTTGGTATTGTAGTAGATGATGTGAGTTTGTAGATTTTCATTCTATTTTGTTGGGACACCTTAGTATTAATGTTTATACATAACTTGGAAGGACTGTCAATCTGATAAGGCTGGAGGGTGTGGTGTCACTGAAACCGTACTCCCTCTCCCGCCACATAAGTGTCATGTCATTTTTTACCACTCAAGTGTGGTTTCTTACCACATCAAGGGAGTGGTGTCACACTTTTAGTGTTTTTTTTTTTTTTTTTTTTTTTTTTTTTTTTTTTTTTAACTATTTTAATTTAATAAAACTGATTTTTTTAATAAAAAACATAATTTTAAAAAAATAATATTTCATTAATTAAAAATACAAATACCATACATTACTTAATTTAAAAAAAAAAGTTGAAAATTTAGGAAAACAAAGTAGAAACATAAAACCTACAACTTAAAAAACATACACACACACACGAAACAATTAAAAACTTGAAAAAAAACTAGAAATTAGCCACGATTGATGTAACGGTTTTTCACTTCCTCCTTCATCGCCAAAACCACTTCAATCTCAGCAACGGTCATATTCGACGTGTCTATCGCTAGTATTCGCATGTCGCTCTCCCTTTGTTTTCGAAGCTCTCTTTCAGAAGCAATTTTCAAAATCTTGTCGATTCTGTCTTTTATACCCTTCATGTCGGATCCCATTTCTTTCGAATCATCTGGATCTGACGCTTTGCCTTTGCCTTTGCTTTTTGGTTTGTTTCTTCCCATTAGTCGGGAAGGTGGTGAAACTGAAACAGGTTCATCTTCGTTCAGATCAAATTGAACACGAGCATCTGATGTACTGTGGTCAGACTCAGATGTCCTGTTGCGTTTTGACCCACTATCGATATGCTCGTCTGATATTTTGCTACTCAACCATTTCCTGTTATCTTTCAAAAAATTTCAAACTTCAAGAAACTTGAAAGCCTTTAGATTTTCTTTTTTATACACCTTCAACGCTTTCTTCAAAATCACTTCATCGCTTTCTCCACTTTTCCATTGACGTTTCATGTTGTTCCACAAGTCATTAAACAACATGAATTCTTCGTTCATCTTCCCCCATTTGGAGTACAATTGATGTTTTGAACGGTATTCTCCACGGTTCATTCCTTTATGGAACCTGTGTAAAACACGAATCCAAAAGCGGTCATGCTTCCAACCATTGCATCTTCTGAAATATTGATTCAATGGTTCCAACATCTAGCCTCCGCCTTCTCTTTTCCTTTAGTTGCTACTTGAGTGGGCTGAATCTCTGTAATGAATTCCAGTTCAGAATTAGAAACAACCGTTTCTGGTTGTGTTTGTGTTTGTTGAACAAACTCGAGTTGAGATAAAAAATCAAATGGATTAAAATCCGGGTTGGGTTGTGGTAGTGGTGGTGTTTGTGGTTGTGGTTGCTCTGGTCGTTGTGGAAAATACGGAAACATACCGCCGTAGTGGTAATACGGAGGTGAGAAAATCCGTTGATCAAATGAAGGTAGTGGGGTGTTGGTATTTCTGACTGATGTTCTTTCTTTGCTGGATCATTTGGAAGATGACATTTTTCATAAAAAAAAATAGAGAAAAGGAGTAGAGATATGATAAAAAGTTGTGTAAAAATGTTGTGTAGAATGGTAATATATATATATATATATATATATATATATATATATATATATATATATATATATATATATATATATATATATATATGTGTGTGTGTGTGTGTGTATGTGTGTGGGTGTGTATGTGTGTGTAGTAAAGTTAAAAAAAAAAAGAAATTAACCACAAAGACCATTCAACGGTCAAAAAGCTAGTCAACACCCAAAGACCAATCAAAATTCGCGGTATTCCCTTGTCGCACTGCGGCCAAGACCGCACCAAACCGCGGTCTGGGGACGGTGTTCCAAGTCTATGTGGCATAAAGTGCGGTATGAAACTGCACCCACACCGTGGAGCCTAAAAGCAAAGGGTGGCACTATGACTCGTGAACCGGGTCCAGTAAAAAATGGAAAAACAAATATAGCATTTATTGAATATCCTATGGTTATAAATTTGAACTTATAGAAAGAGGGCCGACACCCGAGCCACTTTGTAGTGTGATGCTTCGTGTTGGAGATCTTGATCGTTCTATTGCTTTCTATGAGAAGGTGTAAGGTTTTAAGTAGTCTTTAGTTGAAATTTCGTAATTTACATTTTTTTCCCTGTTAACTTTAGTTTTTTTTTTCCGTTACTTTAGGCTTTTGGTATGGAGCTTATACGCAAAAGAGATAGTCCTGAATATAAAGTAATCCGACTTTTTATATTCTAATCTTGTTGAAGTTGAAGTTATAATTATTTGTGTTTGTAAAGTTTTTGATAATTATGTAATTTCACTGTTTTTGCAGTATATGATTGCAATGATGGGGTATGGACCCGAAAGTAAAAATTGTTTATTGGAATTGACTTATAATTATGGAGTCACGGAATACGATAAGGGCAATGCTTATGCACAGGTCTTTTTCCAAAATAAAAAAAAAAACTTGTATTTGTTACATGAGACATAACAAGACATAACATAATATATCATGACATCAAACAAAAATAAGACAAGACATAATAGTAACATGATGAGAGAAGGTAAGGAGTGGACAAGTTTTAGAGGGTTATTTTTATATGGGGTGTCATTTTGGGTCCTTAATTGTAATATGAGATATGTTTTTAACCAATCTCTTTTTATATTTATGGATATGTGGACATTTATGACTTTTATACAAACAAGAGATCAAGAATAAGTAGCCCTTGCCCCACCTTTTTGAGAGAGAGAAAAAAATGATAGTTTTTGTGCCATTGACATTAGTCCCTCATCAAATGCACTACAACATGTTTAACTGTTTCTGTTATGTCGTGCCATGTTTAATGGACTTGTGGTTATTAATAGATGGCGATAGGGACAAATGATGTTTATAAATCTGCGGAAGCACTTAAGGTTTTTAGCGGGAAAATTACAAGAGAACCTGGACCATTACCTGATATTGATACCAAAATTACAGCATGTTTGGATCCCGATGGTTGGAAAATGGTAAAAATATTATTGAATTTAACGGTGTACAAATTTTAAATAAATAAATTGGTTTGATAAATTATTTTCAATTAATTGCAGGTTCTTGTTGATAATGTGGATTTTTGAAAGAGCTACAATGATTCATGCTTAAGCAAATATAGGTTCGATTAAGATTTGCTTCTCCGGAGTACCAAAGGCAAGCATGACATCATTATGAACATAAAGTCCCAAGGTATGGAAACCCAAAAAGAGGCTGACCTAACTTAAATGAGATATGATAGCTTCTTTATGTTCTAACATTCGTGCCAATACATTATCATCATTCTGTTCCGGATTGTAATCCCTAATAAAAAATATAGCTCCATGAGCAAAAGCTCCTGTCATGATGAATCCTACAATATATTGGCGATGAGTATATAATGCAGGTTGAGTAGGAAAGTCTTATGCTATAAATGCATAAGCGGGTAAAGAGTACATGTGTTGAGCTACCAAAGAAGTAATAACCCCTAAAAAACCTAGAGCAAGGCCTAATTAATTTTTTTTTTTAAATCTAACATGATATAGCTTCATATACGGTCATAAAATGGATCATCAAGGTGTTACACATTAGAGTGTGTATCCCCCAATTTTGTAGATGAGAAAACAGTGGTTGCTTCAGCAAAGATTGTATTAAGTTATATTTTAAACAACAAGCTTGCATATATGTATTTATATCTTATATGCATAAAAGTTTGTTTTTTTAAACAAGTGTTGAGCATAAATGTTTTGTAAAACAATTTTGTTGTAAGGCGTAAATAATCAACAGATTTTGTTGTAAGCGGAATCGAACAAAGCTCGAAAGTGTCGATTACTCCACATGGTTTGATATAGTTACTCATAGTAGCGGTACAATTTTAGATTTTTGGGTTAATTGCAAGAAAGAGCGTAAATAGCGAGTTATTACGGTCCATATTGAAGTTGGGGAATTTGAAGGACAGAGATTATGATGACGATTTTTGACGAGCCGTCGTCAATACTCAATAGTATTAAATTATCCTAGATCCTACGAAAAAGATATGATAACTTCTAAAACAATAAGATAAAGTCTAACAAATCCCTAAAAACTAGGTTTCATAAAATCTTGAGTAAATGACACGGTTTGTCCCCGGTCGAAATGTTAAATTGCACGTTCTATCCCTATTTCTAGAAATTAACTCGAACCGTCCTTATATTATATATTTTTTTGACTTGAGTTGTCCCTATGGATATAAAATGACTATTTTGCCCTTAATAATTTCTTCTTAAGATTTTATTTTATTAATTTATAATTTTTAGATTAAAAAAAAGAAAAAAATATCTCTACCCAAGAACACCCTAACCCCTTCCCTGATTTCCTTCTACCCATTCGTTTCCTTCTTTTTAATTCGCCTCCATCCCCGTTCAAAACCCTAGACCCACCTGCATCTCCGTTTGAAATACGAGAATCAAAGGTACAGAAAGGTGCGGGCAACAATGATTCAGTTGATGGCGAACACTAGATGGTTCGATGATGGCAGCACATTTCGAAGCCTTGGTCATCTTCTTTGAGTTTGCTTCTCATTTGGGAGTTGAAGCCATGTCCATGATTTCTCTATATTTGAAAGCAGACAACCTGAAGTTAAACCCAACCCTCTCTTTCCCGATTCTAGTTCACTAAAGATCAAGATTACATAACCCCCTCTCTAATTTGGGCTTTATTTATCTCAATGAAGTGAAGAGAGACAATGAATTGCATGTTATGGTGTAATAAGTTGTCGAACATGGACAATGATGATGGTGATTGCAGAGTTGGTGAAATCGTCTACAACTCTCTCAAAAAGAGATTATTATCAAATCAGATAGTTACATTGGCTGGAAAATGGTATCATTCATGTGCTATAGATGTACTTGCGAGGTATGGAACAATACTTTAGAGGGTGCTGGTTGTAACGAACCAATTTTTGGAAAATTTTTAAACTTTTTATTTCACAAATACCATCGATAGGAAGTACAAAAATCCCAATACATATCCATATTAATTTTGAATTCTGAGTACAAAAAGCTGATCGTGAAAATACTAGAGAATACACACCACGTCTTCCAGCCGAGCCCTTGCCCTTATCAACAGAAGTACTTGGAACATTCAATAAAAGTGTAAGCACAAGCTTAGTGAGTTCCTAATCATAGAAATCATATAATCACATAATGTCATGCTCATACATATGCATACAAAGTTGCCATACACTCCCTCTATGGTCTTCAATGGAATGTCATGGCTACCCCTATGGTATTATATCCTCATGTCATGGGCTCCCCCATGGTCTTGCCAAGTGTCATGGGCTCCTCCCATGGTCTTCACATAAACCCATATATAAATCAAATAACAAACCATTTCACACTCCAATACTAATCATATCATATCAATTAATGGGTCAGCCTTGGTGCATTCGACCCATGAGTGTGGTGAAAAGACTTACCTCAATACTGCATGAAAGTTGACTAGGTCGAGATTCCAATATCCACTCTACACAACCCTATATAATAGAAACAATTTCTTAAATACAACTCAGTATGCCCCAAACCCCATTACCGTCAAACGTTGTCAAAGACTAAGGTCAAAGGTCAAAGTTAACGTCCTGAGTTGACCCAACTCATCGAGTTTCTCTATTACCTGCACATATCGGGAAAAATCCCATCAACTCATCAAGTTGGCTAGAAAACCAACCTCTTAATGTAATAAGATGAACCCATCTAAACAAGGGACTCTAACACTCAGATCTCCTCCAAAATGATGTCTAGAAGGGTAAAGTTTCCAACTTTACCCTTAAGAATCATCCAATAAAAAGCAAACCCAAACCCTAGGCTCTTTTTAGTGAGTCTTAATCTATTAAGCCCTTGAACTCTCCCAATTTAGTCCCAAAACAATGATCTACAGTCCAAATGTTGGATAATCACGTAAAGTTTCCAACTTTACGTCTATGCAAGCTAGAAATACACTCTAGAGCTTAATAAGGACTTATTAAGAGACTTAATGCATGAATGAGGCTTGGAACTTATAAGGTTTGCAAGTTTCAGCCATGAAAAGTCATGAAGGGGTTAGATTTAGCATAATAACCCCTAGAACCTTCAATAGGGTGCAACACCCTAAAATTAGGGTTCAACTTCAGCCGCCAACACGTCGATTTGGGACTCCCCGACTCATCGAGTTGGGCCAATAAAACTTGAGGCCACAAAATTTTCAACACAACGAGTTGGAGCTCCCAAAATCGTCGAGTTCTCATAAAATTCTAATATTTTTGAGAAATGATTTATACCTGAATTAAGCATTACAAATCTCCCCTAGTTGAACTAGACTTCATCCTCGAAGTCTGCTAATGCAAAAAGGTCTTCTCTCGTCCTCCGGCTCCCAGGTCCATTCGAATCCTCTCCGATGCAGCCATTTCACTTTTACTAACTTCACTTCCTTGTTCCGAAGAGCTTTTGTTTCCCTATCCAAAATCATAATGGGATTTTCCACATAATTCAGACTCTTATCAATGTGAATATCATCTAGTGACAAAACCATCGACACGTCAGCCACACACTTCTGCAGTGGTGAAAAATGAAATATACGGTGGATCTGCCCAAGATCCTATGTAAAATCCAATTGATACGCAACCTTGCCCACCCGGGTTGATAATCCAAAATGGGCCAATATACATGGGACACAACTTGCCCCGCCTCCTGAACCGGATAACACCCTTCCAGGGTGACACCTTTAGAAGCACCATGTCCTTGACCTGGAACTCCAGGTTTGATTTGCGCCTATCCGTATAGCTCTTTTGTATACTATACGCTGTTTGAAGTCGGTTGCAAACCTGCTGAATCAACTCGGTCATCTTAAGCACCACTTTGGTACTTCCTATAACTCGATGCCCAACCTCCCCCCCCCCCCCAACAAACTAGAGTCCTACACCTCTGACCATAAAGTGCCTCAAACGGGGGTCTGTCAATACTAGCATCATAATTATTGTTGTATGAGAATTCTGCTAGCAGAAGGTAAGTATCCCAACTCCTTCCGAAAGCCAATACACATGATCGAAGCATATCCTCGAGCATCGGAATCGTCCGCTCACTCTGACCGTCGGTATGGGGGTAATAAGCAGTGCTGAAATGCAGTTGAGTTTCCACCTCCTCGTGGAACTTCCTCCAAAACTTGGAGGTGTAACAATCATCACGGTCCAAGACCACAGACACTGGCACCCCGTTCCTAACCACCACTTTCTGCACATAAAAATCTGCTAATTTCTCGGTGGAGATACTCTTAGAGATCGGAATAAAAATGTGCACTCTTGGTCAACCTATCCACAACAACCCAAATATTCAAACCCTGCATCATCCTAGGTATATTCGTGAGAAAATCCATAGAAATCTCTTCCCATTTCCACATGGGAATAGGTAGCGGCTACATCTTGCCATGAGGCTTCTGATGTTCGGCCTTAACCTTCTTGCAGCTCAAGCACCGCTCGAAAAAAACACACAACCTCCCACTTCATGCAAGACCTCCAATAACTCAATCTTAGGTATCGATACGTCTTTTATCCCCCGGATGTATAGAAAATTTGGACTTGTGTGCCTCCTCCAAGATTCTTTGCCTCACACCGATGGACACCAGAACCCAAACTCTGCCACACTAAGTCAATAACCCTCGACTATCTCGAAAAAACAATGAAATCTCCCCCCCGAATCCGCTTGATCTTCTAGTTCTCTCTTTTTAAACCCTCCACTTGTGTCTCCTTAATCATATCCAATAAAGGTGAAATCACTATTATCCTCAATCAAATATCTTGAATCGGGGCACTTTCTGTCTTCTGCCTCAAAGCATCAACCAAAACATTGGCTTTCCCAGGATGGTACAATATCTAACATTCATAATCCTTTACTACGTCGAGCCATCTCCTTTGTAGCATATTCAGATTTTTCTGATCCATCAAATAGTTCAAACTCTTGTGATTAGTGAAACTAGTGCATCGGACCCCATACAAATAATGTCTCAAAAATTTAAGGAAAAACACCACCGCCCCCAATTCCAAGTCATGAGTAGGGTAATTCGCCTCATGCGGCTTCAATTGTCTTAAAGCATAAGCAAT